GTCTTGTCTCGGCCTTGACCCTCTGAGGTCTTGGTCTTGTCCTGGTCTTGGGACCCTGTGGTTCCGGACTGGTCTTGGTCTCGATTAGAGCGGTCTTGACTACAACACCTCCAGTCTCTACTAAACAAAAGTCTAAAAGGAGCATGTTAACTCTAAAACTACGGCTTCATGACACCGCGAGCATTTTGATCTTTTCAGATCTAATAATAAAGATTTACTCAAACATGTGAATGAAACAAAACACAGCTCCAGGTCTGTTTTCATGAGACTAAAAGTAATAAATCGGAGTGAAATCTGACGTGATCTTGGCCCGTTAAAGCACAACAGAGATCTCCTTTAAGCTCCGTGTAAACATCATTAGACTATTTGCTCAGAGCCTTTATGAACCCTCTGGTCTGATCACACAAAGGCCTCCACAGACCCACGTGTCTCCCCCTCCCCAGCCCTGGAGACACGGCACCCCCACCCCCCATCCGCCTACCCACCTCCATCTCTCATCCCTCCTTCCGTTCCTCCTCGTCTTTGACCTCTTTCCCGCAAAATATCCCTTGTTTTTTGTGTTTAAGGCCCGATAACGCTGCAGTTTCGACCTTTACAAACACGTTCCGAAGCAGATTTGCGTGGTTAAAATGTGCACACTGGCATGAATTCTGATCTGAAAACATAAATCACTTCTTTTTTTCAAAATTGTGCACTCCTACATACCAAATTGAATGAAATTATTGCTGATTTTGCGATTATTTCACAACATTTTCCATAGACTCTCATTTTGTTGTCATCACATTATCGTCAAAAAAACACAGCCGTTTGATTTTTATTTTATTTTAGTGAAAACATTTTGCAACTTTTTAATTATACAAATATTTTCACGCATTTTTATGATTTTTTAAAATTGTTTAATTCAATAATATATGCTACTACTCCCATTGTAAAAATAAATAAATAAACATCTGTCAGCACGTTGTACAATCTGGGCTCCACATTCGAGGAAAAATTAAAATATTTTTACGTTTTTATGCAAAATACGACCAAATGGAAACACGGGGAGGGCATCTGACACACAGGGACATTTCAGAACAATAAAATAAAACAGGAAATTTAGTTTTTTTGTGTAGGAATTTACGGTGCTTCAAAAATCGCAGCCGTTTTTTGTATTTATTTTAATTTCTGCTGATTGAAATTATTATGTCGATTGCGATTTATTTTGCCACCGCAGTTTGAAAGAAAATTTTGAAATCATTACGACTTTTATCATAATTTTGGTAAATATTTTTTCATTTTATTTATTTTTTTCTTCTTGGACTACAGCTCATCCCTTCCTCCACCTTTCATCATCTCTCCTTGCACCTCACCCCCTTCGCCGATCTGGAGCTCCGGAACGCCCCCTCGTACCAGATACCCTCACCCCAACCTCCCCCTCCCCCGCCTGCCCCCCTGCCCCCCCGCTCCTGCCCGCTCCTGCCAGTCTCCACCCGACCAACCCCCCACGCTCCGAGATCCGATCCGATACCGATACCAACCCCCCCCCTCCCCTCTCTTCACACGTCATGGTATTTTTTATTTTTTAGATTTTCACGTATTTGAGCAAAAATGCGTCTTACCCCAGTACAGATTTCTGTCTTGAGGTCAAAATAAATCTGCTGTGAGCCGTCTGCGTTTAATCGTGAAGTGTGTGTTGTTGCGTAATCAGGAAGTGCGCAACAGCATGCTGGTTGTTGTTAGATTTATCGTGGAAAAACTCTGCTGTGGTCGCTGAGAGGTTGTGAAAAGTGGCGTCGTTTTGATTTTGATACCATTTTTTTTGCGGTGGATCCGATTCGATATCGATACTTGGCCTTGGTGTGCTCGCCGATACCGATATTAGTCCGATACCAGGCCGATATCAGTTCGATACCAGTCTGATACCAGTTCGATACCGCAGAATGGGAAGTTTTGTTACAGAACAAGATCCCTCTATCTCTCTCAATCTTTCTATCTTTCTATCTCCATTTCTCCATCCCTGTATCTTTCCATCCTTCCATCCCTCTATCTCTCCACCCTTCTATCTCTCCATCCCTCTATCTCTCCAGCCGTTTATCCTTCCATCCCTCTGTCTCTCTATCTGTTATCCCTCTATCCGTCCTTCCCTTCAGTTCACTATCTTTCTATCTCTCCATCCTTCTATCTCTCATCCCTTTATCTCTCCATCCTTCTATCTCTCCATCCCTTTATCCTTCCATCCCTCTATCTCTCCATCTCTCTATCTCTCTATCTCTCCATCCCTCTGTCTCTCCATCCCTTTATCTCTCATCCCTCCATCCCTCTATTTCTCCATCTCTCTATCTCTCCATCCCTCTATCTCTTCATCCCTCTATCCTTCCATCCCTCTATCTCGCTATCTCTCTATCTCTCCATCCTTCTATCCCTCCATCCCTCTATCTCTTCATCTCTCATCCCTCTATCCGTCCATCCGTTCGGCTCTCTATATTTCTATCTCTCCATCCCTCCATCCATGTATCTCTCCATCTCTCTATCTCTTCATCCCTCTATTTCTTAATTTCTTCATCCCTCCATCCCTCCATCTCTCCATCTATCTTTTCGTCCCTCTTCCCTCTGTCTCTCATCCCTCCATTCCTCCATCCCTCTATCTATCCCTCATCCCTATATCTCTCCATCTCTCCATTCATCCATCCCTCTATCTCTCCATACCTCTATTTCACCATCTCTCCATCCCTCTATCCCTCTATCTCTCTATCTCTCCACTTCTCCATCCCTCATCCCTCCGTCCATCCCTCTTTCATATCTTTCTCTCTTCCTCTCTGACAGTGAGTGTGGGGGTGGAGGGATGAAGATCTGAGGAGGACGAGGAGGTCAGGGGTCATGTGATGGAGGGATGAGATGATGGAAGGATGGAGGGATGGACCGGAGTGATCTCTCTCTCTCTCTCTCTCCTAAACACCTTTAAACCCCTCCTTTCTTTTTTCCCTCTGTCCTTTGAAATAAACTTTAAATTAAATATTGGATTTATTTATTTTTTTTGACACTAAAACGAAAAAATGAAATAACAAACTGTTTTTCCATTTTATTGTTTTTCGTTCTTAATTGAAAAAAAAACAAAAAACGAGAGATACACAAACCCTTTTTGACTATTTTTTCTATTTTCTGTTCTATTTTTTTTCCTTTTTTTTTAAATTTATTGTTCAAAAACCTGCGCTACAAACTGAATGAACCTTTGTGGATAAATAAAGCTGCACTCTGTAACCTTCCTGCTGCAGGGCGCGTCACTATGGAGATAATATTCCTTCTACAGTTCATTATATTTACCCTCTAAACATAAAAATACTGTGAGCTGGATCGCCTCTCCGCAGCTCTGACCTGTAACTTGGCCTGTCGGTGTCTCCGCGTGTTTGTGTCAGAGGAGTTTAATGCCGTACTGCGGGACATTCCAGTGCACCTTTTAAATAGTTAATTAAAAAACAAACAAACTTGCGAGTCTGAACATCGTCACGTAGAAGGTTTTGTCATGAATGCAGGCTGCCATCTACTGGGCAAAGTCGGTATAGCAACGATTTTATTCATAAATATTTGTCTAAATTATTGATTGATTGATTTTTTTCTATTTTAATTTTAATTTTTTTTTGAGTTTTTGCCAAGAGAAAAACAATAATCATACACACACTACATAAACATCGTAAAAAAAAACCCTGAAAAGCACGGAAGAAAAATAAAAACGTGTCTGTTCATTATTTACTTTTTTAAATGATGTTGTTTGCTTCTGGACACTGATCACGAAACTTTACAAATATTTACAAATCGTAATGAGCATGTAAAAAGCGTATCATTTTAGCCTGGTTTATTTTTATTTTTTAATTTATTTTATTTTTTTTGTATTGTACTGTATTATGTTTTACAGTTATTATTTTAGAATTATATTTTATCCCCACACTCCTGCTGGTTTTTCACGTCTTTTTTTTTTTTTTTTTTTTTACTTTAGAGTTTAAGTGTTCATGTTTTTAAAAGTAAACTCAAAATGTATCTTTTTAATTTAGCTTTTAACTGAAACTAATTTCAGTTAAATACAATTATTATTATTACAAATTGAATTATTAAGTAAGTATTTTATTTCTATAGCGCTTTTCACAGACGCTTTACACGGCGTTAATCATTCACTCCAGACCCACTGGTGGTAAACTACTACTGTAGCCACAGCTGCCCTGGGACAGACTGACAGAAGTGTGGCTGCCAATGTGCGCCATCTGTCCCTCCGACCACCAACACACACACACACACACACACACACACACACACACACACACACACCACTTTCATACTAGACAATGTGGGTGAAGTGTCTTGCCTAAGGACACAATGACAGTTTTTGTGGCTGTAATTTTAGTTTTAGTCATTTAATTTTAGCTCTCAATTTTTTATTTATTTATTATATTAGTATTATAATTTTTTTTTTTTTTTTTACTAAAATCTGTCTGTCTAAACTAGGGGTGTCCAAAGGTTTTTCATCAAGGGTCACATGATGAAGCAGAAGGCTGATCAAGGGCTTTAGACTGATGCTCAATACAGTGAATAACTGAAATATGTGCAAGTTTATCACATTAAAATGAACTATCAGACTTTAGTCATGCCAAGATCCTTAAAACCACACACTAAATTTAATTAAATTAATTAAATATCAGCTTTATCAAGGTAGATTTTCAAAAAACTTGCAGTAAAAAGTAAATTTTTAATTGATGCAAGGTAATTTGGGTCAATTCACCTGGAAATCTGAGGGCCAAGAAAAATTTGTCTGAGGGCCGCATTTGGCCCACAGGCCATAGTTTGGACATGCCTGGTTTAAACTGTTGTGTATGTGGATGAAACCCTGGCTGCTGTTGCGTTTGTGAAACTTTTCAAATGTACGAAAAGTGTTTGATAAATAAAGTTTGATTGATTGATTGACAGGTTTAATAAACACGTCTGTGCTAACCTCCTCCTCTTCTTCTTCTTCTTCTTCTTCTTCTGTGCAGATGACTCGTCGTCCGAGAGCGGCAGTGGGAACGGCCTGCCCACTCTGACCCCGCCCACCTCCATCGTCAGGGAAACGGAGGTCGTCAACGGCAACGGGGTCCCGCCCCTTTAGACTTCAGCGCGCCCACTTCCTCCTCGTCATCCTGCGAGGAGCAGCAGCCTGTGGCCCCGCCCCCCTCCTCGGGGCGCCTGGCCCTCGGCTCCGCCCACTTACCCGTGACGGTGTCGGCCGCCGCCGCGGCCCTGCTGGGGGCGCTGCACCCCGCCGCGCCGGAGGAACTGCGCAGGAAGTACCCCCTGTCCGCCAAACCCCCACTGGCCTCGCACCCCGCCCTGCCCTCCCCCTGCCCCACAACGCACACGCCCCCGCCGCCCTCAGCCAATCACACGCCTCCGAGCTCAGGCTGGAGCGCAACGCCAGGGATTATGGGAGCAAGGTGAGACGCACGGTATAAAGATAATAATCCTTACTGTTTATGGTCACCATGGCAACCACGTTTCACTTTTCAACACAACTTAAAATGTGTAAACACTGTTTTACAAATAACTGTTTTTGTTTTGTTTTTGGGTGAGTTATTGTACAGTTGTAGGGAGTATTATCTGTGACATAAGGATGAGTCGTTGCACAGTTGTAGGGAGTATTATCTGTCACATAAGGATGAGTCGTTGCACAGTTGTAGGGAGTATTATCTGTCACATAAGGATGAGTCGTTGCACAGTTGTAGGGAGTATTATCTGTCACATAAGGATGAGTCGTTGCACAGTTGTAGGGAGTATTATCTGTCACATAAGGATGAGTCGTTGCACAGTTGTAGGGAGTATTATCTGTCACATAAGGATGAGTCGTTGCACAGTTGTAGGGAGTATTATCTGTTACATAAGGATGAGTCGTTGCACAGTTGTAGGGAGTATTATCTGTCACATAAGGATGAGTCGTTGCACAGTTGTAGGGAGTATTATCTGTCACATATGGGTGAGTTGTTGCACAGTTGTAGGGAGTATTATCTGTTACATATGGATGAGTCGTTGCACAGTTGTAGGGAGTATTATCTGCTCAGTTAAAGGTCCCATATTACACTATTTTCTGATTTGTTAAACTGTTGTTCATGAAAAACAGACCTGGAGTTGTGTTTTGTTTCATTCACACGTGTTTGAGTAACTTTTTATTATTAGTCTGTTTACATTTCCAAGCCTCAAAATGCTCTGTTCTACCTTGTGATGTCATGAATTGGTAGTGAATGAAACAAAACACAGAAAACCACATGATATTATTATAACATAGATCAGAAAATGTCAGAATATTGACCCTTTAAATCGTGCACAGGTTTTGTTTAGGGTGAGTTCTCTGTGCGTGTATTGAGTATCGGTATCGGTATCGTAAAAATTACCTCGGAAAATTGTGTTTTCAGTTTTGTATTTCCTCTTTGAGTTTGTGGACGCGACTCTTTTGTGAAGAAACGTGAGCAGAGGAAAAAAACAGAAAACAGACTCGTGTTTCTCCTCGACTTTTACACGATTAAGAATAAAACACAAAACGGTATTAAAGGTTGTATAGAGGATTTTCCAAGGAACGAGAAATCCAGCGACTGTTTGTCCTTTTTCAAATGTTGCGCATGCGTGAAACCACCCCCCCTCCCCTACAGCTCCTACGTAGAAACACCTCCTCCCTCCTCCTCCTTACGCCAGAAACAGGTTTGTTTACAGCCGCTGCACATGACTTGTAAACAACTAACTACAGTGTTGGTTAGGCAAGACGGAGAAGTGAGGAGCAGGGGGAAGAGCGGATCGGGCAGCGGGGAGAGGAGCAGGAAAGGGGAGCAGAGAAGGTTGCGCGGAGATTCAGTGCGAATGAACTAACTACAACACGCAGCAGCAAGCGGACTCTTTCTTTGCCTTGAAAATTACGTTTTCAGACATAGGATATCGCTTTCGTGTCCTGAAAAACGTTTGTCTCGCTCTTGGAAATAAAGTACGTTTTCATAATAAGCAGAAGTTTCCTGTCCAGGAGTAATTTGTGGACCAGTGGTTCAGTCTTTAGACCCTTCGTCTGCTTCAGTCGCGCCATCGCTGGAATGAATCTTCAAGAATCACCTTAGTTTGGCTTCGCTGCTTTTCCCCTTGTCTTCTTCTTTCAGCGACCTCAAAAACGGACTTTCTTTTGCGGCGAACTGCTCCTGGATTCTTGTCGCCATTGCAACAAACTTTGTGCGAACTGCGAGGAAGATATAGGTCAAAAAAAGCCGCTAAGAACTGTTGCGTTGGTGGAGTAAACAGCGTCTGTGCGTCTTGCGTCTGTGGACTGCGTGACAGTCGTACGTAAACCACGTACCGGCGGCGCAGGCAAGTCAGTTACACTAGAAACGTAGGGAGTTTGATTGACAGCCTGTCAGCTCACAGATAACGAGGCAGTGTCGTTATCTATTGGCAAATGTTTAGCCCCACCACGTCCAGAGTTGATGAATTTTTATTCTCTTTTTTTTTGGTCATCATAATTACAAGGCTACTGCATCTATAATCTATCATTGACAATTTGAAACAAAAAAAAATCCTCCATACAACCTTTAAAACACTTTTTCTTCCAGCTTCTCTTCCTCTCTTCCTCGTCTCTCTTCTTCTCTCTCTCTCCCTCCATCAGACCCAGACGTACACAATACATGTTTATATCTTTGACTTTTGTTTAGTCTCCTCCTTCCTCTCCTCTCTCTCTTCCTCCTCCTCTTCCTCACAGTGTTTTTATCTGTTTCTTTTGTTTCTTCTCTCTTCTTTCTCGGCTTTTATACGTTTCCTCTCGGAGCTTCTGCTTTTGTCTGTGGAGCAAACTTTGGTTCGATACGTGACAAAGGCTCGAGTGAAAAGTTTCTTATTGTGAAAAGCTGGAGAGTGAAGGTCTGAGTCTGGATTAAAAGAAACAAACAACAGACGGACAAGTTTAACGCCGCACTCACCACGTTTACATGATGTGGGGAGTAACAGATTACATGTACCGGAGTTATGTAATCAGAGTACAAATGATGAGTAACTGTATTCAGTTACAGTTACTGTTTCATCGAGAGGTAATTGGATTACAGTTACTTTGTTGAAATAAATGGATTACACAGAGGGATTTTGCTGTTTTCACATTTTCACATTTTGGGCTAAACCAGGTCTAAACCAGGACTTAAACAAGTCCAGAACTAAACCAGGACTAAACTAGGACTGAACCAGGACTAAACCAGGACTTAAACAAGTCCAGGACTAAACCAGGACTAAACCAGGTCTAAACCAGGACTAAACCAGGACGAAACCAGGACTAAACCAGGACTAAACCAGGACTAAACCAGGACTAAACCAGTAAACCAGGACTAAACCAGGACTTAAACCAGGTTAACCAGGTCTAAACCAAAACTAAACCAGGGACTAAACCAGGACTAAACCACTAAACAGGACTAAACCAGGTCTAAACTAAGACTAAACCAGGTCTAAACCAGGACTAAACCAGGACTAAACCAGGATGAAAACCAGGACTAAACCAGGACTAAAAACCAGGTCTAAACCAGGTCTAAACCAGGACTAAACCAGGACTAAACCAGGTCTAAACCAGGACTAAACCAGGTCTAAACCAGGTCTAAACCAGGACTAAACCAGGACTAAACCAGGACTTAAACCAGGTCTAAACCAGGAACTAAACCAGGACTAAACCAGGACTAAACCAGGACTAAACCAGGCTAAACAGGACTAAACCAGGTCTAAACCAGGACTAAAACCAGGATGAAACCAGGACTAAACCAGGACTTAAACCAGTCCAGGTCTAAACCAGAAATAAACCAGGACTAAACCAGGACTAAATCAGGGCTAAATAGGAACTAAAACCAGGACAAAGCGTTTTAACATTGAGATTTCCTGGTCTTTTCTTCTCTGTTCATGGAGACTTGGGCTCAACAGACAATTTGAAGAAAACAAACAAGAATTTTCAGGATGTGGTTGTTACGTTCATGTAGTTTTAAAAAGCATGACGATATCAAGTAATCCAAAGTAATCAGATTACTTTATTCACTTGAAGTAATTGAATGGATTACGTTACAAACTACATTTTGGAGTGTGTAATCTGTAATCTGTAGGGGATTACACCTTCTCAACACTGCGTTTACATGATGTTTTTAACTTCAGAATGAACTGTTCTGAATCAAATAGTTCAGAATTTAAATATTGTCCTTAGATTTTACACAGAAATAATAATTCCGAATTGAGGTTTACAGGGAAAACACGTTAAATCTTCTTTATTTAATTCCACTCGACGTCTGGAGGTTGAGAAGGTTCAGTATTTACCTCGATTCGGTTTGTCGTTACACCACAACTGTCCTGGTTTAGTCCTGGTTTTAGACTTGGTTTTAGACCTGGTTTTAGTCCTGGTTTAGTTCTGGTTTTAGTCCTGGCTTTAGTACTGCTTTTAGACCTGCTTTAGACCTGATTTTAGTCCTGGTTTAGTTCTGGTTTAGTCCTGGTTTAGACCTGCTTTTAGACCTGCTTTAGACCTGATTTTAGTCCTGGTTTAGTCCTGGATTAGTCCTGGTTTTAGACCTGGTTTTAGACCTGCTTTATAACTGATTTTAATCTTGGTTTAGTCCTGGTTTAGTCCTTGTTTAGTCCTGGTTTTAGACTTGGTTTTAGACCTGGTTTTAGTCCTGGTTTAGTTCTGGTTTTAGTCCTGGATTTAGTACTGCTTTTAGACCTGCTTTAGACCTGTTTAGACCTGGTTTAGACCTGGTTTAGACCTGGTTTAGACCTGCTTTTAGACCTGTTTAGAAGTTTTACCTGGTTTTAGACCTGGTTTAGACCTGTTTAGAACTGATTTTAGACCTGGTTTAGTCCTGGATTAGACCTGGGTTTAGACCTGGTTTTAGACCTGGTTTTAGACCTGATTTTATCTGGTTTAGTCCTGGTTTTAGTCCTGGTTTAGTCCTGGTTTAGACCTTTTAGACCTGGTTTTAGACCTGGTTTTAGTCCTGGTTTAGTTCTGGTTTTAGTCCTGGCTTTAGTACTGCTTTTAGACCTGCTTTAGACCTGATTTTAGTCCTGGTTTAGTTCTGGTTTCAGACCTGGGCGGTGTTCCTGTGACCCGGGGCTGTGTTCTTGACCTGGTGACAAAACGCTGCAGTCGAGTCAGAGCCGCTCATTTACACTGAACAACTCCAACGTAACGAGCCTCTCGATTAAACTCGTATCAGGTCGAGATTCTTATAACAAAGTTCATTAGACCCGATTTAGAACTGATTTAGAACTGATATTAGTCCTGGTTTTAGACCTGGTTTAGACCTACTTTAGAACTGACTTTAGTCCGGGTTTAGTCCTGTTTTAGACCTGGTATAGTCCTGGTTTTAGACCTGATTTTAGACCTGGTTTAGACCTGGTTTAGACCTGTTTTAGACCTCATTTAGACCTGGTTTAGAGACTTTTACCTGTTTTAGATTTTAGACCTGGTTTAGACCTGCTTTAGACCTGGTTTTAGACCTGGTTTAGACCTTTTAGAACCTTTTAGACCTGGTTTTAGACCTGGTTTTAGACCTGGTTTAGACCTTTAGAGACCTGGCCTGGTTTAGACCTGGTTTAGACCTGCTTTAGATTTTAGACCTGGTTTTAGAAGACCCATTTAGACCTGGTTTAGACCTAGCTTTAGAACTGGTTTTAGACCTGGTTTAGACCTGGTTTAGACCTTTGTTTAGGACCTTTAGAACTGTTTAGACTGGTTTAGAGTTTAGACCTGGTTTTAAACTGATTTTAGTCCTGCTTTAGTCCTAGTTTTAGACCTTTTTTAGTTTAGACCTGGTTTAGACCTGCTTTTAGAACTGGTTTTGGTTTACCTGGTTTAGACCTGCTTTAGACCTTCTTTTGAACTGTTTTAGACCTGGTTTAGACTGCTTTAGAACTGGTTTTAGACCTGGTTTAGACCTGGTTTAGACCTTCTTTTGAACTGATTGTAGACCTGTTTAGACCTGGTTTTAGGCCTGCTTCAAAACTGATTTTAGTCCTGCTTTAGTCCTAGTTTTAGACCTGCTTTAGACCTACTTTAGAACTGATTTTAGTCCTGCTTTAGTCCTGTTTTAGTCCTGTTTTAGTCCTGTTTTTAGTCCTGGTTTAGTCCTGGTTTAGACCTAACCTCTCCAAGTCCAAGTTACAGGTCAGATCTGTGGAGAGGCATATTTGAAGGCATTTTTGAGCAATAAAAAACACCTGTAATTTCCTTCATGTTGGATTGACGCGCTCTGTGACACACTGAAATGTTCCACAGTGCTCTTTACTAGTTTAATCACACTGTGAACAGCTCCGGCGTAACGAGCCTCTCGATCAGACTCGTATCAGATTGAGATTCTTAGAACAAAGCGTCTTTCAGTGCGTAAACGCAGAGACACAAAGCGCGGCCCGTGATCAGGAACCTCTCACCCGCTTTTCTCCTCCGTCCTTGAATTTAATTGGATTTACAGAGCTGAGATTTCAACGGACGAGTTCTGTTCACGTCGTCTTCGTCTGTGGAGTCTGGATCTGCTTTACGGATCGATTTATTTATCTGAATATTCGCAGACGCTTCTGGGAAAGTGGAAGTTAAAGGTGCGTTGCGTAACTTTTCTGATGGAGGGTTTGGAATCCGTGTGTCGTTCGTTCATTCGTTTTTCAAACTAAAACTAAAAATAAGAACGAAAAAACAAATATTTACTTCGTTATTTGATTTGGTTTTTGATTTTGTGTTTAAATGAATAATGGAAAAAAAAACGGATAATGGACGTTTCCTGTTTCTGTGACTTAAACTGTGATCCAGGACTGAACCAGGACTGAACCAGGACTGAACCAGGACTGAACCAGGACTGAACCAGGACTGAAGTGTTCTCAGTCCTGGTCTGGTCCCGGCCTGGTCCCAGTCTCAGTCCTGGTGTTTCAATCACGGTCTAATCAGGGTCTCAGTTCTGGTCTCAGTCCTGGTCTCAATCATAGTCTGGTCCTTGTCTGGTCCTGGTCTGGTCTTGGCCTCAGTCCCGGTCTCAGTCCTGGTCCTGGTCCCGGTCCTGGTCCCGGTCTCAGTCCTGGTCTCAGTTCTGGTCTGGGCCCGATCTCAGTCCCGGTCTAAATCACAGTCTGGTCACAGTCTCAGTCAGATCCCGATCTGGTCCCGGTCTCAGTCCCGGTCTCAGTCCCGGTCTCAGTCCCGGTCTCCCGGTCTCAGTCCCGGTCTGGTCCTGATCTGATTCTGGTCTCAATCACAGTCTGGCCCGGTCTTGGTCCCAGTCTGGTCCTGGTCTGGTCGATCTGGTCAGGGTCTCAGTCCCGATCTCAATCGTGGTCTGGTCCTGGTTTGGTCCTGGTCTGGTCTTGGCCTCAGTTGTGGTCTCAGTCCTGGTCCTGTTCCCGGTTTCAGTCCCGGTCTCAATCACAGTCTGGTCACAGTCTCAGTCAGGTCCTGATCTGGTCCCGGTCTCAGTCCTGATCTCAGTTCTGGTCTGGTCCCGGTCTGGTCCCGGTCTCAATCAGAGTCTGGTCCTGGTCTGGTCCCGGTCTGGTCCCAGTCTCAGTCCTGGTGTCTCAATCACGGTCTGGTCCCGTTCTGGTCAGGGTGTCAGTCCCGGTCTCAGTCCCGGCCTGAGTCCCAATCTCAATCATGGTCTGGTCCTGGTTTGGTCCTGGTCTGGTCCTGTTCCCGGTCTCAGTCCTGGTCTGAGTTCTGGTCTGGTCCCGATCTCTGTCACAGTCTCAGTCAGGTCCCGATCTGGTCCCGGTCTCAGTCCTGGTCTCAGTCCCGGTCTGGTCCCGGTCTCAATCAGAGTCTGGTCCTGGTCCCGGTCTGGTCCCAGTCTCAGTCTTGGTCCTGTTCCTGGTCTCAGTCCTGGTCTCAGTCCTGGTCTGGTTCGGATCTCAATCACGGTCTGGTCCTGTTCTGGTCCTGCTCTGGTTCTGGTCTCAGTCCTGGTCTGGTCCCGGTCTGGTCCTGGTCTCAATCAGAGTCTGGTCCTGGTCTGGTTCCGGTCTTGGTCCCGGTCTGGTCCCGTTCTGGTCAGGGTGTCAGTCCCGGTCTCAGTCCCGGCCTCAGTCCCAATCTCAATCATGGTCTGGTCCTGGTTTGGTCCTGGTCTGGTCCTGGTCTGGTCTTGGCCTCAGTCCCGGTCTCAGTCCTGGTCCTGTTCCCGGTCTCAGTCCTGGTCTGAGTTCTGGTCTGGTCCCGATCTCTGTCACAGTCTCAGTCAGGTCCTGATCTGGTCCTGGTCTCAGTCCCGATCTCAGTCCTGGTCTGGTCCCGGTCTGGTCCCGGTCTCAATCAGAGTCTGGTCCTGGTCTGGTCCCGGTCTGGTCCCAGTCTCAGTCTTGGTCCTGTTCCTGGTCTCAGTCCTGGTCTCAGTCCCGGTCTGGTTCGGATCTCAATCACGGTCTGGTCCTGTTCTGGTCCTGCTCTGGTTCTGGTCTCAGTCCCAGTCTCAGTCCTGGTCCTGGTCCTGGTCCTGGTCCCTGGGCCTTTCTAAAAACAGAGGTGTAGTTTATGAAGAGTTAGAAGTTAAGTTAGAAAATGTGAAATAATAATCCCAATGTGACCAGAAGCAAATATAAAAGGAAATTAAAACTCCAAAAATGTATGAAATGTTCTTGAACATCTGTATTTGCCTCCGTACACGTCTCACTTGTGTTTATTTGTGTTTATTTGTGTTTATTTGTGTTTATTTGTTTGTGTTTGTTTACAGTCTCCTCAGTACAGCTCCGGGGGAAGTTACGACAGCGTGAACAGCGTGAGCAGCGTGAAGATGGACCTGTCCGCCGAGGACCTGACCATGGGTCGCCACGGCAACCAGGCCACCCCCGACGACGACGACGACGATCACGACGACCACGACGACACGGACAAGATGAACGACGCCGAAGGAGTCGACCCCGAGAGACTCAAGGCCTTCAACGTGAGTGTGACGACTCATGGACACGATATACACTTAAATACACTTATATATACTTGTATACTCTTACTTACACTTATATACACTTATTTACACTTATATACACTTATTTACACTTATATACACTTATTTACACTTATATACACTTAAATACACTTCAAAACACTTCAAAACACTTATATTTACCGCCGCCAAAGAGGTTATGTTTTTTGCCGGCGTTTGTCTGTTTGTTTGTTTGTCTGTTTGTTTGTTTGTCTGTTTGTTTGTTTGTTTGTTTTGTTTGTCTGTTTGTTTGTTTGTTCTGTTTTGTTTGTTTGTCTGTTTGTTTGTTTGTTTGTTGTTTGTTTGTTTGTCTGTTTGTTTGTTTGTCTGTTTGTTTGTCTGTTTGTCTGTTTGTCTGTTTGTTTGTTTGTTTGTTTGTTTGTTTGTTTGTCTGTTTGTTTGTTTGTCTGTTTGTTTGTTTGTTTGTTTGTTTGTTTGTTTGTTTGTCTGTTAGCAACATAACTCAAAAAGTTATGGACCAATTTTGATGAAATTTTCAGGATTTGTTGGAAATGTGAAAAGGAAGAACTGATTTCATTTTGGGGCTGATCCGGAAGAAATCCTGGATTCTGGATCACTTTGAAATTTTAGTTAACATTGTGGTAAATGGGGCCAAAAATTTTGTTTCTCAACATCTCAGTTAATTATTGACCAAACCCCATGAAATTGGACTCCGGGATGGACAATGGGATCCTCTTTCATATTCCAAAGGCTGATCCGGATCTGATCCAGAAGACTGATTTTATCGCAATTTATATCAAAAATGGGGGTAGTCCTTGGCGGAGGTCTGCGCTCTCTGACTGCTTTTCTAGTTTACATTTATTTACATTTATTTACATTTATATACTCTCTTTTTTACACTTATATACACTTATATACATTTATATACTCTTTTTTATACTTATATACACTTATTTATCCTTATATATACATATTTACACTTATATATACTTATATACTTTCTTTTTTACACTTATATACACTTATTTACACTTATATACTATTTTTTATACTTCTATACTCTTATTTACACTTATTTGCATTTATATACTCTTATTTTTACACATATATACACTTATTTTTTACAGTTATATACACTTTTTTATACTTATATATTCTTTTTTAGGCTTATATACTCTTTTTACACTTATTTACACTTATATACACTTATTTACAAATACACAGAAAAAAAAAAAAAACAAAAATCTAAAATGTTCACAATTGTACAGTCTCAACAGTGCAGGGCAAAGTTGTCGTACAGTTGTAGGAAGTATCTGTTATATAAGTGTGACTTGTTGTACAGTTGTAGGGAGTATTATCTGTTACATAAGATGAGTTGTTGTACAGTTGCAGGGAGTATTATCTGTTTTACTTAGGGTGAGTTGTTGTACAGTTGTAGGGAGTATTATCTGTTACATAAGGTGAGATGTTGTGCAGTTGTAGGGAGTATTATCTGTTACATAAGGGTGAGTTGTACAGTTGTAGGGAGTATTATCCGTTACATAAGGGTGAGTTGTTGTACAGTTGTAGGGAGTATTATCTGTTACATAAGGTGAGATGTTGTGCAGTTGTAGGGAGTATTATCTGTTACATAAGGGTGAGTTGTGTTACAGTTGTAGGGAGTATTATCCGTTACATAAGGGTGAGTTGTTGTACAGTTGTAGGGAGTATTATCTGTTACATAAGGGTGAGTTGTTGTACAGTTGTAGGGAGTATTATCTGTTACATAAGGTGAGATATTGTGCAGTTGTAGGGAGTATTATCTGTTACATAAGGTGAGATGTTGTGCAGTTGTAGGGAGTATTATCTGTTACATAAGGATGAGTTGTTGTACAGTTGTAGGGAGTATTATCTGTTACATAAGGTGAGTTGTTGTACAGTTGTAGGGAGTATTATCTGTTACATAAGGTGAGTTGTTGTACAGTTGTAGGGAGTATTATCTGTTACATAAGGTGAGTTGTTGTACAGTTGTAGGGAGTATTATCTGTTACATAAGGTGAGATGTTGTGCAGTTGTAGGGAGTATTATCTGTTACATAAGGGTGAATTGTTGTACAGTTGTAGGGAGTATTATCTGTTTTACTTAGGGTGAGATGTTGTACAGTTGTAGGGAGTATTATCTGTTACATAAGGTGAGTTGTTGTACAGTTGTAGGGAGTATTATCTGTTACATAAGGTGAGTTGTTGTACAGTTGTAGGGAGTATTATCTGTTACATAAGGTGAGTTGTACAGTTGTAGGGAGTATTATCTTTACGTAAGGTGAGTTGTTGTACAGTTGTAGGGAGTATTATCTGTTACATAAGGTGAGTTGTTGTACAGTTGTAGGGAGTATTATCTGTTACATAAGGTGAGCTGTTGTACAGTTGTAGGGAGTATTATCTGTTACATAAGGTGAGATGTTGTGCAGTTGTAGGGAGTATTATCTGTTACATAAGGTGAGTTGTTGTACAGTTGTAGGGAGTATTATCTGTTAACATTTTTAGCCAGTCACTGCTTCTAACTCCTCATCTTGGTCTTGTTTACTTCCCAAAACAAAATAAATAAAACTTCACAGCTCCTTTGAATAAGACGAGAAATCTGTCACTGCTACTGAGACTCACAGTAAAATAAACATTAAATTACTTTTATTTGTTACTGGTAAAGAAAATAAAACAAAACAAAAAAAAAGCAAACAAACAAAAAAAAAAAACACACAACAACTGAAAACAATAAATAAACCCGTTGTACGTGACCACAATCCAACACAGTGTTCGCAGAGAGAGAAAATGCAAACGTTGATCCTGACGAGTGGCGTGTTTTCCCGCGGGACGCTCCGGTCGTTCCCATAAAGCAGAAGTATCGGAAAAGTGACGGCTCTCCTCCGCGCCCGTCACTGACATCGATCTGCAGCCCAATCGCGCGAGGCAACGTGAGATAACGGAGACATTTTTCACTCAAACGATGAAGACCAGAAGGGGGCGCTGGAATATCAACATGCTAATGCTAACGCTAACGGCTAATGCTAATTCTGATCTGACACTGAGTTATGTTGCTGTTGTTTTTTTGTTTTTGTTTTTTTGTATAAGAAATCAGGATTAAACCAGGTCTAAACTTGGACAAAACCAAGGTTAAAGAGGTTAAAGAATCCGTGTATCATTCGTTCATTCGTTTTTCAATATAAAACCAAAAATAAGAAAATGAAAAAACAACAGTTTTCTTCGTTATTTGTCTCCAAAACCAAAATGAAAAAACGGATAACGGTTTGTTTTTTCAGTTTTCGATTTTGTGTTTAAATGAAGAATGGAAAAAATGAATAACGGCCGTTTCCCGTTTACGTGACTTCAGTGACTGTGATGCCGGACTTTTGCACCGCATACGGACTGAACCAGGACTGATCCAGGTCCGAGACCAGAGCGGGACTGAGACCGGGACCAGACAGGGACCAGACCGGGACCAGAGCGGGACTGAGACCGGGACCAGACCGGGACCAGAGCGGGCCCAGGATGGACTCCGAGCTTTGACTCCGAGCTTTGACTCCGGGCCTCCACGGGGTCCGAGTCTCAGCTTCGAGCTCCGGTCCTGCCGTGGGCTCTGAGCCTCCGGTCTGGTCCCGGTCTGGTCCTGGTCTTGTCTCAGTCTCGGTCTCAGGCCCGCTCTGGTCCCGGTCTGGTCCCAGTCTCACCGCATACGGACTGAATCAGGACGGATCCAGGTCCGAGACCAGAGCAGGACTGAGACCGGACAGAGCTGCTCTGGTCCTCCGCGCTCAAGAACCGCGGCTGGTTCCGAGGTGCAAAGCCTCCGACTGACGCTTTCACACCAATGAAAATGAATCGAACTAAGAGCTTTTGGTTTAAATGGACCAGGTCCGGGACCAGACCAGGACCAAAGCGCTACTGAGACTGGGACCAGACCGGGACCAGAGCGGGCCTGAGACCGAGACCGAGACAAGACCAGACCAGACGGGACCAGACCGGAGGCTCAGAGCCCACGGCAGGGCCGGAGCTCGAAGCTGAGGCTCGGACCCCGTGGAGGCTCGGAGTCAAAGCTCGAGTCAAAGCTCGGAGTCAAAGCTCGGAGTCAAAGCTCGGAGTCCTGGTCCTCGGTCAGTCCTCGGTCCAGTCCCGGTCTGGTCCCGGTCTGGTCGGTCTCAGTCCCACTCTGGTCTCGGTCTGGTCTTGGACCTGGATCAGTCCTGGTTCAGTCCGTATGCGGTGCAAAAGTTCGGCATCGCAGTCACAGAAGTCACATAAACGGGAAACGGCCGTTATCCGTTTTTTCCATTCTTCATTTAAACACAAAATCGAAAACTGAAAAAACGAATCGTTATCTTTTTTCATTTTGGTTTTGGAGACAAATAACGAAGAAAACTGTTTTTTTTTTTTCGTTTTCTTATTTTTGGTTTTATATTGAAAAGCGAATGAACGAATGATACACGGATTTTAAAGCTGTTTATTTTTTTTTTTATTTTTTCATCTCTGTTGTTATAATGTTGTTTCTTCATCACAAACAGACCTGGAGTTGTTTAGTTTAGTTGTTGAGGGTGACTAGAATTTCACAATAAAATAAAATAAAAACTGGGACATCCCTGTTTTTTTTTTTGGCCTGACTGATGTGGATTTTTTTTGGATAAAATGTGCTTTGGAGCCAATATAATTCACTGTAAATCTTCAACTGATTTGATGAAGTAACAACATTATAACACGACTCAAATTTTGCATAATAAAAACCAGGACTAAACCAGAAGTAGCCGACATCAAACTGTGATAACTCGACCCAAAACCGGGACTAAACCAGGTCTAAACCGAGTCTAAAGAGTGAAGACAAACCCGTTTCCCCGGCAGCACACAGTCCATTCTCAAGTGTGACTTATGAAAATGAATATGGATCAATATCTCATCTAGAATCCGTACGTGTGCAGACTGGACAAAGACGGGCTTTTATTCCAAGGTTAGAAGCGGCACAAAGGAGAATCCGCCCGC